ATACTTTTTTCCACAGCACAACTGTATCCCTGTAACAATCTGATGTAGAACTATCCTTAATTCCCTACAATTCACTTGAAAGTAATCCTTTTGAATCGACAAACCATTTTCATCATTTTTGCGGCCTTTGGTGCAAAACCTCCGAGTTTGTCTACGGCTTTTCCTCTAGCAACCAAGGATCTGCAAAGGCTCACTGTCCATAGTTGGTTCGCTCATCTGTGTGATGTGCGAAACGTACCTAAACTTATTGTGCATTCTGAGAAACGTCTTCCTAGCCTCATCGGTCATTCCATTGTTAAGGTTGCATAAATCTAAAAATGACCACGATGGATGAAATCGACAGATACGCAGTACCTAGTACGCTATTCATCGCCTACCTCCATATGCAGCTTCACTCAGGAAAGCCTAAAAATTTCAAGTAACCCGAGTAAAATGCCAGATTTATAACAAGCAAAGAAAACTTTCAACTTACCAGAAACACCACTGTTGGAAATGATAGCATCGTTCAGGTTGAGACCCGATGCCCGCTCAATCCTGTAGGACCTTTTATATTGTAAATTATGAGGGCATTTTTCCCTACCTCGTCGATGTCTCAACTGTTCAAACAGCGTAGGAGAGAAACCATGCAACAGAACTATAAAAACAGGGTGAGCATTGCTTTCGTCAAAATCACCACAAGAAACGGAAGTTGTAAGAGTATATTGCGAGCATCATGGTGCCAGAAAGCATTCCTATTTTGGCTTCTGGATTTCACATGCAAGCCTGCTTGCTGAACGCCAGTGCGAAATTCGAAGTTCGCGTCTCCAAGCCTAGGCTACTCAATCAATGTCCCTCAAACTGGCGAAAAACAGTAGCACCACCCTTGCTCTAACTACCACATTGACTGTTCAAACAGAGAAGACATCGAAAAGAAAGGAATTCCTCTATATGAACAGTATAAAAGCTCCTCCCAGGCTAAACGGGCACTCGTCTCCAACTTAGCAATGATCACATTTCCAGCACTCGTGTTCCTGGTGAGTTAGACGTTCGCAGTGACCGTTATTGATCTGATATTTTTCTCAAGTTATTGGAGGCTTTCCAGGTTTTTCTAAGTGCATCTGCTTATGGAGCCAAGCAAGCACTAACATGCGGTAGATCCCCTTGATTGGGATATTGATCACCATCATCCATCAGTAATCTTCAGATATATGCAACCTTAACAATGAAATGATCGATGAGGTCGGAAAGACGTTTCTTAGGATGCACAACAAGTTTCGGTATGTTTTATTCATCACACGGGTGAAGAAGCTGTATGTGAACACTGAGACTTTGCAGATCCTTGGTTGCTAGGGGGAAACGCCTCAGGTAAGCTTGGTGGTTTTGTACAAAAAGCCGCAAAAATGATGAAAATGGTTTGATTAAGGAGGATCACCTTTCAACTGAGTCGTAGGGAGTTCTACAATGGATTGCTAGGGACAGTGCTAAGGAAAAAAGTATGATGAGCAACTGGTTAGACCAATGTCAGCGGGGACGCTCTTCTATCGAGGATGTTGGAGAGAACATTTACATGACGACGAAAACAAAGGAAACATGACGGTGTCTGCAATAAAGGTGGGAATATTCTAAGTATGTAGTAGGTTTTCGTCGAGTTCTGCACCAACTCTTTTAGAGCACCACTGCATGGTTCGCAACATTGGTCACGCAGTAAACAAACAAACAATCAAACAAACAATTATTGTTCTGTCTATGATTCGGATTGATTAATTCAAGAGCAGCCAAATTTTCGAGCTAGTTTAGCAAGTTTCGAAAAAATCCGTGAGGAAATGGTGAAGTACTATGATAAATTCTATTCTGGAATTATTCTAGTGGAATAGCTCAGTAGTTAGCGACCTAAAGTTTGATATTGTTATTTCCTGGTTGTAGAAACAATATGGTCGAGAACTGAATCATACGAGTCCCTTATCTCTCAACCTCGACCAAGGTTATGTGTTCCATATTGGAGTATCAGAATACAAGACCGTGAAAAACTAAAGACTGAGTGAAACACCTTGAAGTTCGCATGAAAAAGCTTCATATTTTTGGTTTCCTCACGAAAAAGCTACTAAGAAAGCGTTTGCTATCTACCACCTGCTTTCTTGAATTCTGCTGATCGAAGGCACCAAAGCTTTACTCGCTCTAGACAATTTTCCTCCACGGTGGTTACTAATCAACTATAGGCAAGGTGACCATGGTGAAATCGTTTCCAGTGACCACTTGTAATTCAGAGACCTTTAACAGCTGTGGGTCGTGAAGCTGAAGTGGTAAATCAAGACATCGATTGATTGTACTAACATTATTACAGACACTTTGAAAGTGCTGCCAGCATGTTTCGTGCAAGAATCACTAATAGCCTTTATCATTGGTAGAAGTTGGTGATTATGAGTGGTGAGCCTACTGGGCTTAATGTATGTCCCTAATGGAACAGCAATAATGGACGGCGGTGCCGATACCGTATATAAAGGCTCTACTATATAAGGGAGCCTCCGCTACCAGATGCACGGATTTCACTTCACGATTTCGTTCCGCGACCTCCATTTATCGTTTAATTTCAGGTAGCAAATGAGTGTTGCGTCGTTCTCCGTCCGATTCCTCCTTACCCTAGTATGTTTCTTTCACAGCCCTCTGAATTCTTCAATACCGTGTGAAATGTTATTCTTCCGGGTTCCCAGAAACCCTCAAAAAATCCCTTCAATGCTCACTCGGACCTGTGGATGGGTGGGAAGCAACAGGAAGAGTTGTAGGCCTGAAAGGATAATTTAAAGTATCTAATAGTTTCCTAGCCAAGCGTCCATTAGATGAATTCGCCCCGAGTCACTATCCCGATAATTACTGAGACATGATCACCTGCTACCCGTTCTTCGAGCTAGCCCTTTCCGAAAAAGTTCAGATTTAATTCGAAAGTTCCAAGTTGATTTCAGTGCAATGTGAGGTAATCCACTTAAGGGAGGAGGTCTAGATCAGAAAAGAGATCACGATTTGATGAAGACTCAGGTTGTCCCTTCTCCTTTATTAGAGTGAATATATATCTACCGAGCGAGGACTTCACAGTATTATGGCTGCTGCATTTCATACTTAGCGAATGGCTGTAAAAGCTAATTTTGATGTTGCTTACATGCAATCGTTCGTTCGACACTACTCGTTGTTTACTTTAGGCGTGCATTTTGTCTGCAATCGTGTCGACGATGGGTTTCAGATCATGGAAGAGAAGTCCTTATAGTTACATTAACGGATAAATCCCAACCCATGAAAGGGTAAAAACTAAAACGATTCCTGCGAATAAATACGTCAAGCTTCCGTGTGTCGCTTCACAGAGAGTGGTGTTTTTTCCTCCTTCGTTTGATTTGCACGTTTTGCAGACATAGTGATTCTACTTAAGTTTTACTTACAAGTTTCAGGTTTTGAGTAATTAGAAGGTCATGATAACAGTCTTCTCTGTGTGACTATGATCGCTCACGAAGAGTTGGAACCAATTTGTGAAATGGCCTTAAAAATTCTCAGACTAACTTCAAGAAGAGTCGCATCATCGAACAGGGTTAAAGGGAGAATCAATTAGAGCAATTTGTAGAATGAATNAGTTGCGCAAACAGTACCTTATATACGGTTCAAAAGGGTTGATACAGTCCAGGGGTCATTCTCGATCTGCTACGGATATAACAAGAACGTAGAGGCCGAATGAGATAACAGAAATATTCCCATCCAGAGAGTGTTGACAGTGTTGAAATATCAATAGCAAAGTGTGTTGATTTACTGGTGACACATGAAATACAAAGTGTCGAATATACAGTGTATACAGTACGAATTAAAAACTTCAGCGTAGAACAATCTGGTATTCTCGAGAGAACAACTGGTCGACCACCTCTTCGTATAGTAAAGCATCAGAGTAGTAGTGAAGTACAATGTATCATTAGGCTAATGGGCACTCAAGGATGAAGCCTTTGGCATTTATCAATGCCATTTTTGGGATGCGCCGTCCATTCCGACTTGCATTCAAAATCATAATGGCTTACTAAAAGTCGTTATCAGCTCAAACTAGTACCGATCCTAGATTCGTTCTCAGACCATGATGGTGTGTTAGTGTGCCACTTGTCACTACATCACATCCGCTTCTTTTCCAGCAAGGCGATATTTCTGGAGCAACTCAAGTCTAAAGAGAACTTCTCGCATCTCTGAAATTGAGAAAGCAAGGGGGACAAAATTCAAACGAATAAACCTTTCCGCGGCCGCCCCTTCAGAGAGCCCAGCTCCCATTCGAACTTCCCCGCTTCCCGCTACCTACAGTATGCCTCCCGCGAATCTTGCTCCTTTCCCTTCTCGTCACTTCAGTACCCCGC